AATGTTGTTGGAATCTGGATTGGGATTGCATTATATGTATAAATTGCTTTGGGCAGTACTGACATTTTCACGATGTTGAGTCTTCCTATCCAGGAACATGGAATGTTCTTTCACTTCTGTAGGTCTCTTTCGGTTTCTTGTAGTAGTGTTTTGTAATTTTCCTTGTAAAGGTCCTTTGTTTCTCTAGTTACATTTATTCCTAAATATTTCATCCTTTGGGTGGCTATTGTAAATGGTATTGCTTTCCTAATGTCCTTTTCAGCGCTGTTATTGTTACTATAGAGGAATCCAACTGATTTTTGTTTGTTGATCTTATACTCTGCCACTTTGCTGAATCTTCCAATGATGTCTAATAGCTTTTTTACTGAGTCTTTGGGGATCATATCATCCGCAAATAGAGTTTTATTTCCTCTTTGCCAATTTGGATGCCTTTAATCTCTATCTTGCTGTATAGCTCTGGCTATGACTTACAAAATAATATTGAATAGGAGTGGTGACAAAGGGTATCCTTGTCTGGTTCCCATTCACAGAGGGAAGACCTTCAGTTTCTCTCCATTGATAGTAATGTAGGCTGTTGATTTTGTATATATGCTTTTGATTATGTTGAGGAATTTCCCCTCAATTCCTACTTTGTTGAGTGCTTTTATCAGGAATGCATGTTGGATTTTGTCAAATGCCTTTTCTGCATCAATCTATATGATCATGTAGTTCTTTTCCTTTTCTTACTTAGATGGTGGATTACATTGATTGTTTTTCTAATGTTGAACCATCCTTGCATCCCTTTTATGAAACCCATTTGGTCATAATGTATTATTATTATTTTTTTTTTTATGTGCTGCTGGATTCTGTTGGCTAGGATTTTGTTGAGAATTTTTGCATCTATGTTCATGAGGGATATTGATCTATTATTTTCTTTCTTAGTGACATCTTTCCCTGGTTTTGGTATGAGGGTTATGCTTGCTTCATAAAAAGTATTAGGAAGTTTTCCATTCTCTTCTATATTCTGGAATAATTTAAGTAGAATTGGTGACAGCTCTTCCCTGAATGTTTGATAGAACTCACCAGTGAAGCCATCTGGGCCTGGAAGTTTTTTGATGACCTGATTAATGTCTTCTTTTGTTATGTGTCTGTTCAGGTTTTCTACTGCACTGTGTGTAAGTTTAGGTAGGTCGTGTTTTTCTAAAAATGTATCCATCTCTTCTAAGTTTTTTAATTTGTTGGAGTACAACTCTTCATAGTATTCTGTTACTATCCTTTTGATTCCATTTGGTTCTGTTGTGTGGTTTGTGGTTTCTAATGTGAGTTGTGTCTTCTCCCTCTTTTCTTTTGTTAAGTTTGCCAGTGGTTTGTCAATTTTATTAATCCTTTCAAAGAACCAGCTTCTTGTCCTGTTGATTCTTTATATAGTTTTTCTGCTTTCCATTTCATTTATTTCTGCTCTTATCTTTATTATTTCTTTTCTTTTGGTGATTGCAGGTTCCCTCTGTTGGTCTGTTTCTAATTGTTGGAGATGCTGTGTTAATGTGTTAATTTTGCTTCTTTCCTCTTTTTGGATGTGCACATTTATCACAATAAATTGTCTTCTCAGCACCGCTTTTGCTATGTCTCAAAGATTTTGATATGTTGTGTTTTCATTCTCATTTGGTTCTAGGAACTTTGTGAATTCACATTTGATTTCTTTTATGCAGTCGCTTTTCAGCAGGGTGTTGTTCAGTTTCCATGTATTTGACTTTATTTCCTTGGTCTTCTTATTGTTGATTTCTAATTTTATGGCATTGTGGTCTGAAACGATGCTTTGTAGTATTTTGATATTTGAAAATTTATGGAGGCTTGCTTTTTGACCTAACACATGGGCAATTCTGGAGAATGTTCCATGTGCACTGGAGAAAAATGTATATTGTGTTGTTGTTGAGTTGAATGCTCTGTACACATCTATGAGGTCAAGTTGGTTGATTGTGCTGTTTAGTTCCTCTGTAACTTTGTCAAGTTTCTTTCTGGTTGTTCTGTCCCTCAAAAGCACTTTTGACTAAAAGTGTAAAGATTGAGAGTAAAACAAATATTTTGACCAAGACTGGGAGGAAACTAACTTTAAATTAAACTTGAATAGCAGGTAAGATTGTGAGGGAAATATTTCGTTTTAGTTTTCTTTAATAGTGCTCTATGAAAGTACCTTTTAGGTTTCCATGTCCTTTAATGCTATTCACACATAGTTATTATAATTTAAAAGGTCGTTTTTCTAGGAAAAATATAATTAATCCTTAAAAATTGCTTTATAAGCTAACATTTTTGTCACTTTTTACTTAACCTTATTTAAAAATTGCAATATATGTTCGCTAAAGTCCTTTGTATTTCTGCTCTTCTGGACTTCCGTAATTTCACATAAATTCTTTGTCTGCAATTACATTTGGTTGCTACCAGATTAACTGTGCTACCGTTGTGATGTTCTCTGTGATATTCTAGGGAAAGCACCCACAGAGTCAAAACAGAACTAAGAAAACTCAGATCTACCGAGATAGACTTTTCTTCTTTTCCATCCCCTCTGAACACCCTTCTTAGATATGCAGAAATTTCCTACTTCATAGGCCTCTCCTCCACAAGGTACAAACCAGAAAACTCACTTTCGCACCCTCCCTTGAAGCTGGATTACAGACATATGAGCTAGCTTCCATCAGTCCACATGTGAGTTAAGATGACTTAATTCTAAGTAGAGCAAAGTGAGAAACCATGCACCACATGGAATCCATTTTCTGGCCCAGGAGGCTGGAGAAGCAGCCAACTTTCAGGCAACCGTAGTGCAATTTTAGCAGCAGACGTGCAATCTGAGGCTGGAGAAGCAGCCAGCTTTCAGGCAACCGTAGTGCAATTTTAGCAGCAGACGTGCAATCTGAGATGCTGGTGCTTGCTGGCAGGAGCAGAAGCATCTTCACAGGAGTGGCGGGGTGAGGTCTGCAGTCTAATTCTCTGACCTTCCCAGTGATTTCCTGAGCTACAAAAGGTCCTATAATAAATTCCTTAATGCTTAAACTGGCTAGAATAGGTGCTGTTATTTACACTCCAGGTGTGTTATATTATAAACTCCAGGTGATCTGCTTCATCTCAGGGCTCCACAGTGGAGTAGGAGAGGAAGAGCAGAGTGAACAAAACAATTGTCTTCTTTAACTGATTTCTTGTTTATTATTTGTTCTACCCAACTTGAATGAGGGCTCTGTAAGACCAGAAGCCTTGTCTGACTTGATCACTCACTGCTGTAGTCTCAAACCCCTAACAATGTCTGGCATATATTAAGCACTTAGGAAAGCAAATATTTGTGACTGAATTAATACCATGTATGTAAAGTGGAGCTATACACTTCTATCCTGCCCTCTATCTTAGACCCTGGGACAGACAGAGAAGACAACCCTGGCACCGAGTCACATCGGGAAGCCAGGAAAAATTGAATGGATCACATAGTACAACATCTAGACTCAGACACACCTGGGTTCCATGCTTGACTCTGTCACCTGTGGGCATGTTGTGTAACCATTCTTGAGTCTTGGTTGTCACTGTTTTTAAATGGGGATATACCATCTAGCTCATACTGTTGGTACAAGAATACCCAAGGTCAGCAGTTTGATTCTTCCAACCACTCCACAGGACAGATATGAGGCTTTCTGCTCCTGTAAAGATTTAGAACCTTGGAACCTTATGTAGGGTCACTATGAGTTGAAACCCACTCAGTGGCCCACAACCACCACCACCACCAGAGTGTGAAGTTGGCACACAGTAAGTGCTCTCCCCCATACATGCACCTCATGTCTATTGCATTCTCTTTAAAGGAGGATGGTGGGAAGTGAATGCTATATCTCATGGGACTGGGTCCTTATTTATTTTAGGAGAGCAGCTTGCAAAATGTAATGCCTAAGCCTGGTGTGGCGCTGTGGGTTAATGCACTGGACTGCAAAATCAGTTTGAACTGCAAGGTCAGAGGTTCAAGCTCACCAGCCACTCCTTGGAAACCCTATACAAGGTTTGTATTTGAGTTGGAACTGACTCAACAGCACTAACAACAACAACAAGTCACACAAAAAACAAATGTAACAGTGGTGGAGCATATACACAATGGCAGATCCCAAGGGATCCCAGTAGAAAGTCTTGTGCTGCAACCTCTATCACACATAGTTTGTGACAAGGAGAAGGACCCCTTCAATGTTGTCCCTACTTCTAAGGATGGGACCAAAAGAGACACATAGCATGCAACTTTGGAAAGAGAACTTTATTAGCCTCTTGAGAAACAGCTGCCATGATTCAAAACCTAGAAGGGTCCAAGCTCTGATGCTTCCCAGCCAAAGGCAGAGAAGGCCCAACTGTTCTTTCTACATCCTTGGACCAGGGTCCAAGTAGGGGGCCCCAAGAAAAATACCCCAACTTCTTGTTTCCCTCAGTACAGGAACAGGTTCAGGTAATGTATTTGTTGGATATTAGATTCCCTGCTCTATGGATATCTTGTTGAACAGGAAAATAAATCAAATCAACATGCTAGACATTCATATCAGGACTGTGCGGGCATATTAGCCAGTGTTCTGGATCATCAAGCAAGAACACAATTTTCTGGATCACCAGTCATAAAATCAACATCCCAGAGGGTCACCCACAATTCTAGACTGCAAAATAAGAGATCCCTAACTTTCTAGATGAACTTCCCAGATGACTTAATCAGGAGTTTCACATTCTAAAAATGTCTACATTCTAAATCAACCAGAAAGCTGACATTATAGGTTGTCAACCAGGAACCCAGAGTTCTGGTATGCCAAATGAGAACCACTCCTAACATTCTGGATGATTAACCAGGAATTCAGCATTCTAGAACAACAAACAAATCCACAACATTCCAGATCATTGATTGAAGGTTTCAAAGTTGTAAATGTCAGCTCTAACAGTCTCAATACCAAACGAGAAACCCAGCATTTAAGACTATCAGCCCTGGCTTCGGCATTCCTCCAGAATGCTGCTGCTTTGTCCCCTTAGAGCTCTGTGGCTGGCCGCTCCACACTAGGCTGTTCATCCTGGCTGGGGTCCGGCACACGGAAGGCAACGTAGGGACATGTTTTGGTGTTGAGGCACACCAGCTTCTTCAGTGTGGCAGTCTTGACAATGTTGAAACCTGCCTCGCCACCAAATGTGCTTGGTTTCCAGTACTCCGGAGAACAGATGGGATTCCCTAGGAGGCCCTTGAGGGAAAAGGGAGCCCCAATTTCTATCATACTCTCCCCAAAAATGGAGTTTGGAAGGCACTTCTCAAGAAGCAGCCCTGGATAGAACTCCATGGCATCAATGTCACCATACAGCTCTTCCAATTCAGCCGCCATCTCCTTCTCTCCTGTAAGAAAGAGGCAAAGGTAGGGTCAAAGCCATGCTGCCAATAGGTTCATCTGGGGAGGGAGCCTTCTAAGTCCATTTTTTACTGGGGAATAAGGGACTCAAGAACATTAGTTTGAACAACTGGAAACATAACCTAAACCTGGCCTAGCAGGCACTGGGAAAAGGCATTAACTTTCTTCCAGGGCTGAATCTAGAGAAGGATTGTGCCACTGAATACAGTCTAAGGGCCTGGGTCTGCCAACTAACAGTGGTACCTTGAGCAATTCACCTGTCTTCTCTGGTCCCTAACTACCTGATCATTCTAACAGGGAACCACTTCTTTCACGGACAGGCTTCAAGACCTTATCCTAGTCCAAGCCCCTTCATTCTATTGGAGCTCAGAAACCTAAAACTGACATAGAGTGTCTATTTTTTCTGCCTCTCTGGAGTGTTCATCAAAGTCCATTAAAGAATGGGTGCTCTTTGGCAAACCCAAAGATTGCCATTCCAGGATTATGGGAAACTCTTCCACTGGTCCCAAGATCTGCCTCATTCTGAAACACACATCTTCACAGATAGGAACCAAGGACATTGAGCACTGCTACTCCATCCTCCATACTTCAAATCCATCCTCTATGGGACACTAGTGCAGAATCATGGGTCATGTCACATCCTGCTCAAAGTCCTACAATGGCTTCTTGTTATCTCTGACAAGGATCCCCAATAATTGGAGATCTCAAACAAAAGACTGTGTGTGGATGTACAGATGCTTGTGCATGACCCAGACCTACTTCCAGAATCATCACAACTGGGAGTAACATCTGGGATTTTATTATTTTCATCAGTTTTCCAAGTGTATCTTATGCAGCTGGCCCATAAAAGGGCATTTACGAACTAGACCAAAAGGTCGGAAGTTTGAGCCCACAAGCAACTCCATGGGAGAAAGATGAGGCTTTATGCTCCTATGAGATTTACAGTTTCAAAAATCCTATACAGGGTTGCTATGAGTCAGAACCAATTCGATGGTACTTAACAGCAACAATAACAGAATAAGGGTCCCTGGATGGTGTAAATGGTTAACATGCTTGGCTGCTAACCAAAGGTTAGAGGTGTTAGTCAATCCAGAGGTGCATTAGAAGAAAGTCCTGGTGATCTATTGCTGAAAAGCTCCTGAAAGCCCTAAGGAGTACAGGTCTACTCTGACACATATAGAGTCGCCATGCATTGGGGTTGTCTGAGGACACTGGTTTGGGTTTTGTTTGTTTGTTTAGATAGAGTAAAACTCAATATATTTAGCATGATATCTAAAATTGGATACAACATGAACACCCTCCACTTAAGCCCCATGTTCCAGTCATACCTGCTACTTACTCAGCGTTCTCCTGAGTAGGTGCAGTCTTTCTGACCTCTGTGCCTTTGTACTCTCTGTTTCTCTCCCTAATGCTCTTCCCTTCAAACCCAGCAGGAAAAGCACCTTCTCTCCCCAGGCAGGGCTACTTACTGTGTCATTCTCTTCTCCCTAGGTCTCTGCTCTCCTGCCCTTATTATTCCCACGTCATGGTGCTGGCCACAATCTGTGGTAGAATTTGTGTCCCTGACTCTCCCTCACTTTACTGTGAGTTCCTCGAGGGCTGGAACTGTGTCCAGGAAACAACTGCTCACCTGTGAGCTCCTCGAAAGTAGTGTAGGGTTTCATGCCAAACCTCTTGCGATATTCATTGAAGGGCTGCAGCTGCAATTCTCGAGACTCCTTGATGACCTCCACAGCCACGTGCAGGACGTGCTGGTCTATGTTCCTCCCACCACCGATCTGCCAAGAGATGAGCACAGCTGCAGTCTGAGAGTCAGAAACGTGCAGGGCGTGCTGGTCCATGTTCCTCCCCCCACCAATCTGCCAGGAGATGAGCACAGCTGCCGTCTGAGAGTCAGGCCAGACTGTCCTGCATTAGGGCCTTAGGGAAAAAATTTTGGGCCAGGCATCCTCCCTGAGCTAGAAAAGAATGACTCAGTTTCACAGCCACTGTGCTGGGGATATGGCCACTAGAGCTGCCACTGTCATGCTCTCTCAGGGACCACCCTAGGCGGAGTCACAGTTTCCTCAACTTTAAAATGTCCAGTGGGCCAGGAGGACCTCCCTAGTGGCTCCCTGACTCACACTGTTGCCGACTCCTTTCAATCTACTTGAGAACCTCCAAGGTTCTGTTAAGGAAGGCTCAGGATCTCTTAGGTTCATCAACAAGGATTCTGCAGGAGAGATTACCAGCATGGATGAATGAAAGCAGAAAGGGAGGCACCCCAGCTCTGGAGATGAAAGTTAAAAGCTGACGAGGGTTTCTGAGCCAACAATTGACTTCAAGAGAAGGATGAAGGAATACTACGTTGAGGTGTCAGAAGTCAAGGGAATCAGATTAAAAATCCACTTTATGAATTTCCTAAGGGTTTTCTTTACTTCTTCTGGGGACAGTGGGTATGAGTAGGAGTGAATAGAGTTAGACTTATGGCTACGTCTAGGTTGGCCTTGTTGTTGTTGTTAAGTGCCGTCGAGTCGGTTCCGACCCATAGCGACCCTGTACAGGGTTTCCGAAGGTGTAGGACTTCATTTATGTTAGGGTAGTAATTAGGATTAGGGTTAGTATTAGGAGTAAGGCTTGGGCTAAGGTTAGAGTGAGGCTTGGCCTAGTATTTAGGGTTACAGTTAGGTTTATTTTTATTTGTTTTTCTTATAATCTATTTGATTTCCTCTTCATTGAGAAGTTCTGTAAATATATTACTACCTCTTTTTTAACTTTGTGGGGTTTTTGTTGTTGCAACTGTATCTCTGGTTCTCTCTTTTCAGTTTTGTGGGTCTGCTTTATTTTGAATACTTCTACATCTGGAGTTCTGGTATGGAGCTACAGGATAAGCACTGGACTGTTCATCACAAGGTTGGCAACTCAAAGCCAACAGCTGATCCTTGGAAATTCTATACAGGGGTACTATCAGTCAGAACCAACTCAACAGCACTTAACAGCAACAACATATCTGGGTTGAATTCTAAGATATTGTCATGTATGTTAATCTCAGGTTGTTGTCTGCTACTGTTAGTTCTCTGTCCAAAGAACTCCCTTTAGTATTTTTTGTAAGGTTGGTCTGGTTTTTACAAATTCTTTTAATTTATGTTTATCTGAAAAGTTTACTGCCATATTTGATGGACAGTTATGCTGGATATATGATTCTTGGTTGGCAATATTTTTCTTTCAGAGTTTTATATATGTCAGCCCATTGTCTTCTTACCTGCATGGGTCTGCTGAAAAGTCAGAGTTTAGTCTTACAAGTTCTCCTATGTAGGTAACTTTTCATTTTTTTCTGTGCTGCCCTTAAGATTCTTTTCTTGTCTTTGGTTTTGAAAAATCTGATTATAATATATCTTGGTATTTTTCTTTGGGGATCTATCTTGTTTGGAGTTACTTTATCTTCTCTTTCATGATGTTAAGGAAATTTTCTTCCAACAACTCTTGGACAATATTCTCTATGTTTTTCTTTGTTTGTTTGTTTTGTCTTTTCCTGTTCTGGAATTCCAATCACACATAAATTATTCCTCTTGATAATGCCCCAGGTAAATCTTAGATTATCATTGGACTTTTTTGTTCTTTTTCCATTTCTATCAGATGAATATTGAGTTTTTCTTCAAACTCAGTAATTGAACCTTCCATTGGTTCAATTCTATCTACTTCTTTACCCTTTCAGCATCTTACCTATTTCTGAAGTCTTCATATTAATCTTCTGACTTGCTCATTGCTGTTTTTGTATGGTTCCCTTTTTTTTTTTTTTTTCATTTACTTTGCCAGTTTGTTTCCTGAATTATTCTATAGTTTTTGTCTATGTTTTCCTTGATTTTGTCTGCAATTTTCCCAATCATTCTCAGTCCACTGAAGGTGCCTAAATCACATTTGTCTGAATTCCTTATCAAGTAGTTTTCATTCTGATATTATATTTTCTGATTCTGTATTCTGGTCACTTGTTTGAGGCACTCTGTATTGTTTCTTCTTGCAAACTGAAGTTGTTTATTTCCTCTGAGACAGATAATTGTATCGTATTTATATTTAATTGATGATTGTATATTGGTGTGTTCTCAGGCACTTGCTACCTGTCTCCTGTGAAGTATGAATGTGGTTTTCTGTTCATTATTTGTGTAGCATAGTTCAGGGCGGGCTCATGAGCCTCCAGAAGTAGGGTTGCTACATCTGGCTCCCAACCCTAGGCAGAGCAGAGACTGCATGAGAGAAGGAGCCATGACTGCTGGGAACTGAACACACCCTCAGCTACCACAAGGGCAAGGTAACAGGGAGATCTGCACCCACTTGCCACCAACCTCCCATAATGCCCTGTGCCTGCAGGCAGCTGTATCAACAGCAACTTGCAAGATGGCCATGCCACTCCATGTCAACCCACAATCCACCCATTTTTCTTCTCTCCCACTGTTTCTGTTCAGCTTCCTCTTCCAGTTGGCACTCAATATGCACCTCTCTCTGTCCTATCCTCTGAAGCTCAGGGTTCCAGGATCACCACCTGTATATGTTTCACTCAGTCTCCATGTCTTTGTTGCAAAGGGTCAGCTCAGTGTATCAATCGACTCTGTCATCTTGTCCTGGAAGTCTCTAAGATATTTTTTTTCAAAAGAAGTCCTGGTGTGTGGCACTGTAAGATAAGCACTAGACAGCTAACCATAGTTCAAACCCACCAGCAGCTTCTTGGAAGCTCTATATAGGGTCACTATGAGTTGGAACAGACTCAACTGTACTTTAACAACAGAGCTGACATGTGCTTGTCACTCTCCAAGTCCATTTTTATCATAGAACAGAGATAATTCATGTATTTTTGTGACATTTGCAATATATTTTTTTTCCTTCGTTGCTGTCAAGAATATGCACAGAAAATTTTTGAGGGTGCTTCAAAAAGTTCATAGAAATTTTCCATTATATTTTTATTCCATTTTCCACAAACTTTTTGAAGCCCCCCTCATACACCAATTCAACAGTTTCTACACACACAATTCAGTGACCTTGAGTACATTCTTCAAGTTCTATAACCATTCTCCCTTTTTTTCTGAGCATAAATTCACTGCCTCTTAAGCTTTCTATCAAATCTTTATAGAGTTACTGTTACCAATTCCACCCCAAATAGATAGTTCTTGAAAACACATAATGCTCAAGGCAGACCTCTTTTACTAGTCAAGCTAAACTATTATTTGATTTTAAAAAGACTTTTGGTTTAAAGTTTAAAGATTATCTCAGGACAGTAGATTAGTGATTCATCCAACCTTCATGGTTCCAGGAAGTCTGAAGCCCATGAGAATTTAAAATTCTGTTCTGCATTTCCCCTTTTTCATCATGATTCTTCTCTAGAATCTTTGATCAAAATGTTCAGTAATGGTATCCAGGCACCATCCAGTTCTTCTGGTCTCATGGCAAAGGAGGCAGTTGGACATGAGGCAATTACCCATATATTCCACTTACTCCTCCTATTCCTGACTCTCCTGTTTCCTCTGTTGTTCCAGGCAAATAAAGGCCAATTGTTGTGCCTGGGATGTCCACTTGTAAGCTTTTAAGACCCCAGGGACTACTCATCAAACTAGGCGGCATGATGAAAGCACTAAGCTTGTTGTTAGGCCATAAAACATAAACATGTTGTTCCATAAAACTGGGACACCAAGAAACCAAATCCCATGAGGTTTCTGGTTATACATAAGCAGCCTCAGCAGCTATTCTTTGTTGTTGTTGTTGTGTGATGATTTTATATATATATAACAACTTTTGCCAATTCATTGTTTTATAAGTGTATAACTTACTGACAGCAATTACAATAATTGGCTATACAGCCCTACCCTTCATGAATGCACTATTTCTATCGCTGTTAACCCTCACTCCTTCCCTCCCTCTCACCCCTGGTAACCACTAATAAACTTTGACCTATATACAATTGTCCCTTCTTTTCTTTTTATAGAAGAGAGACCATACAATATTTGTCCTTTTGTGATTGACTTATTTCACTCAGCATAAAGTCTTCTAGCTCCATTCATATTATAGCATGCATATAGAGTTCATTTTTTCTACTGATTGAGTAGTATTTTTTGTATATATGTACATTTTTTTTATTCATTCATATGTTGATGGGCATTTAGGTTGTTTGCACCTTTTGGCTATTGTGAATAAGCATGCAATTAACATGGGTGTACAAATCTCTCTCTGTTTAAACCTCTGCTTTTAAGTCTTTGGGGTATATACCTAGGAGTGGAATTGTTGGTATCATATGGTAGTTCTATATGGAGCCCTGGTGGTATAGTGGGTTATGTGTTGGGTTGCTAACCACAAGGTTAGCAATTCAAATCCACCAGTTGCCCTGTAGGAGAAAGAGGTTTTCTGTTCCCATTAAGATATATTGTTGTCATTAAATGCCATTGAGTTGGTTCTGACTCATAGCAACCCTGTATAGTGTTCCTGAGGAGTGGCTGGTGAGTTTGAACCACAGACCTTGTAGTCCAGTGCTTATCCTACAGTGCCACACCAGGACTCTGTTGAAAAACCTACATAGATAAGACTGTTGTGAGACAGAATTAACACAATGGCAGTGGATTTGGGATTATTTTCTTCCCCCTGGTTATGGTAGTTCTATTTTTACATTGCCACGTTGTTTTTCACGTGGCTGTACCATTTTGCATTCCCACCAACAGTGCAAAACCACATTATGGCCAACATTTGGTATTTTCTGGGAGTTTTAAATATTATCCACCCCTGTTGTTGTTGTTAAGTGTCCTCAAGTCAGTTTCAACTAATAGCAACCCTGTATAGGGTTTCCAGAACTCCTGATGTGGCACTATAGGCTAAGCACTGGACTGCTAGCCAAAATATTGGTGGTTCAAACCCACTAGCCACTCCTTTAAAACCTATACAGAGTCTTTATGAGTCCAAACTGCCTCAACGGCACATAACAACAACATAAAGTTTCCAAGAAGTGACTGGAGGGTTTAAACCAATGGTCTTGCAGTTAGCAGTTCAGTATTTATCTTACAGCACCACGCCAGGGCTCTATACCCACCCTAGTGAGAATGAAATGGTATCTCATTGCTTGATTTGAATCTATGGTGCTGTAGGATCAGCAATAGACTGTGAACCATAAGGTTGGCAGTTCAAATCCACCAGCTGCTCCTTGGAAACTCTGTACAGGGTCTCTATGAGTCAGAACCGACTCAACAGAACTTAACAACAAATGGTTAATGGTGCTGAGAATCTTTTCATGTGTTTGGTGACCATTTGAATATCCTCATTAGTGAAATGTCCTTTGCCCATTTTATGATTGGGCTATTTGTCTTTTTGTTGCTAAATTATCAAAGTTTTATATATATATTAGCTATCAGATTGCTGTTGAATATAAGGTTTTGAAGATATTCTCTTAGTGGGTAGCTTGTCTTTTCACTAAAGTCTACTGATGAATGAAAGGTTTAAATTTTTCTAAGATCCCATTTATTTATTTTGTCTTTTGCTGTTTGTGTTTTTGTGATTACATCAGATAATTCTTTTTCTTTTTTTAAGCTAGGCCTGTGTTGCAACTGATTTTACTTCTAAAAAATGTTACGGCTTTAATTTGCAAATTTAGGTTCTGAATCCATTTTGAATTGGGTTTTGTGTATGGTATGAAACATGAATCCTGTTTCTGTTTTTTGCGTGTAGAAATCCAATTTTCCCAGCATCATTTATTGAAAAGACACTTCTTTCTCCATCGAATGGACTTAGCACCCTTGTCAAAAATTAACCATCGATATTTGGATTTACTTATGAACTCTCAATTTTATTGCATTGGTCTTGTGTGTCTATTGTTTTACCGATATCAGACTGCTTTGATTACTGTAGCTGTGTTATTGTTGTTGCTGTTAGGTGCAATCAAGTTGGTTCTGTGGCTTTATAGTGATCCATGTACAACAAAATGAAATACTGCCCAGTCTTGCACCCTCTTAATAAACCTTGCTATATCTGAGCCCTTTGTTGCAGATGCTATATCAATCCATTTCATTGAGGCTCTTCCTCTTTTTCTCTGACCCTCTACTTGACCAAGCTAGATGTCTGTCTCCAAGGACTGATCCCTCCTGATAACATGTCCAGAGTAAATGAGATCATCTTCACTTCTAAGGGATATTCTGGCTGTACTTCTTCCCAACAGATTTGTTCATTCTTTTGGAAGTTGTGGTATATTTAATATTTAATATCCTTCACCAGCTATGTAGTACGTTTTAAAATCAGGAAAGTGTGAGTCCTCCTATCTTGTTCTTCTCTTTCAGCATTGCTTTAGCTATTAAGTAAGGGCCTTTTCAGCCCGCTGTGTAATGTTGAGGGTTGGTTCTAAAAGAAGGCATTGCATTGAATCTATAGATTGTTTTGGGTAATATTGACATTATAACAATATTAAGTCTTCCATCTTCCAATCCATGAACAGAGAACAAGGTTCTATTCATTTAAGTTTTCTTTGATCTCTTTCAGCAGTGTTTCATATAATTTTATACAAGTCCTTCACATCCCTGGGTAGAACTAGTCCAGGTGTTTTATTCTCTTAGATGCCTTTGTAAATGGAATTGTTTCCCTAAGATCCCTTTCATATGCTGGTGTATAGAAACCCAACTGAAATTTGTTTGTTACCCTTGTACCATGGAGTCCTAGTGTGGTGCCATGGGTTAATGCTCTGTACTGCAAAGTCATTTGAAAAGCAAGATCGGCAGTTCAAGCTCACCTGCCATTCCTCAGAAACCCTATACAGGTTTTATGGGTCAGAATCGACTCGACAGCACTTAACAACAACAACAACAACCTTGTACCCTGCAACTTTGCTAACTTCTTTTATTAGCTCTAGAAGTGTTCTTGTGGAAGATATTCTTTTAGGGGATCTGCTAAGCGAACTATTTTTATTTAATCTCATGCTCTGTATCATAGTAGTGAGATGCAACAAAATGTACTGAGCATCTAATATTTAAGAAGTGAGTCCATAATATCGGGCCACCACTAAGAAGAAGAAATAGAAGGAATAGGGAGATAGTAACACAAAGCATCGTCACTCCATTCAGACTAGGTAAAGTCAGAGGAACCGACATGACTGCAGGCAGTGCTCTCCTTCCTTCTGCCAAGCTGACTGTGAGAAGAAAGGCCGCAAGCTAGCAAGGAGGGTGTAAAATGTTACTAGGAAAACTATAGTATCTAAACAATTCTAGTTAAACTAAGCATGGGGTTTAATCCTTTGAAGGGAGAGAAAACCCAGGTAAACTGGTGAGATAAAGGAGGCTTCAGAAAAAGATTCCCGTTCATAACAGTTTAGAACCATTGGTCTAAAGAAGTCTTATTGAGGAGGAGTTCCCTTTAGACAGAAAAAGCATAATAGGGTAGGAGTGGGGTTTGGGGGTGGGGGAAGCATAGTTGGATGAAAACAGGCACCTTGGAGTAAAAATACAGAGAGGGTGTTACCATTGTGGATTGACCATTTGCAAGCTGTGGGACCTTGGGCGTTTACTTCAGCTTAGTCCCCATTTCCTCATATGTAAAAACTGGAAAGACAAGTACATCTACCTCATAGGATTGTGGTAAAATAAATGTGATAAAGTATGCAAAGTGGTTATCACTATGTCAGCCACATGGCAACCCCCCTCCCACCCCCAAGTTGTTAGCCATGTGCTATGGTTATCAGGGGAAACCCTGTTTTTATCACTCCTAACATTCTTCTCAACATCCTGAGAAACAGCACACTCCTGTCCCCTTTCTGCCTGTGCCACAGAATAGTTTCCATATATATCATCATGGTCATTCCTTGAAAATACTTTAAAGACCACAGCTCATCACACAAATGGAATTATCTATGGGCATATGTGTCCCCACAGAGAACAGAGGCCTTAAAACAGCCAGCAGCTTTCCACTGGTAGCAGTATATGCTAATCACAGTCAAATTACCAGAAGGAAATTGAGATCTATATTGTGCCTCAATGTCCTAATAAGACTCAGGAGTGAAAAGGAGCTGAGGGTTGAGGATGAAAATGCAAGAATCAGAAAGCAGGGAGCTTGTGTGTCAGGAGAAGGGAAGGACACATTTCGGAGGGAATTGGTTAGAAATTCCAGGGAAAGTGGCCAGTGGTTTAATAAATATATACAATATGCAGGCACTTTCACATCCTGATTATCCTTCTGTTTCTCAAATCTAGGCCTTGCTCATGCTGTCCCTCTATCTAGAACACTAAGACTAGGGAAGCTCCTATTTGTCCTTCAGATCTCTGCTAGGCTTCTTATCCATAACACACCAATTCCTTACAGATAACCCCCAAAACTGGATCAGAAGCCCCTCCCCACGTTCCCAGAATACTTTGAACTTTCTCTGTGTAGTTCTAATCAAATCCAATAACATCGAAGTACTTAGCATAGTCTAACACACAGTAAGAGCTCAGAGGATGTTAACTAGCGTATGACTACAATCCCTTTCTAGGGTGTAAGCTCCAAGAAGATAAGAGCCAAGAACTACATGAATCTTGTTCGCCACTATCTCTGTAGTACCTGGAATCATGTCTGGCACTGCTAAGTGCACAAAAAAACAAGAGAATTAATGAAGGAATGCTCACAGTCAATCTTTTGCGGTAACGCTGCCCCCACTTTACAGACGAGGAACTGGGGTTCAGTCAAGATCTGTTACTTCTCAGAACCCACAAGCCCTCCCCAATACTACCCTGGGACTTACCCGGCCCGCAACCTGACGAGAAAAAGCATCCACGAGAGCCTCAACCCCGTAGTCCGCCAGCATCGAGGTATTGAACAAGAACTGCTCGTAGGTGTACTCTTGGGAGCCCACCTTAAAGGAGTTGGGCATGAGCGGGTGCCAGCGGTAGAGCTGGTTGAACTCCACTGCAATGCGGTTGCTGTACTGGAATTGGGCTCCGAACAGCAGCTCTGGGTCAAACTTCAACTGCAAGAAGTAGCCACTCAGCTGCTGCACATACTCCTCAATGACAATCTTGATGGTCTCCCCTAGGCAGGAAAGGATTGGAGAGTCAGCAGGTCACACTCGTTTAGATACCCAGCTTGAGAATTGGGCCAGTGCATGATAAGTGTTTGTTTTTGCTTGTGACTAGTGTCTTTGTTGCTATTGTTAATATTAATTTAAGTTGGCCATTATTCACTTTGTCTCTTTGTATAAAACTTTCTGTCTCAATTTTGACTGGGGTCCCCCAGCTACTCTTACATTTCAAAGGGAGGCCCTGCTAAGCAGGACATACAAAGAGAGTATCCAAGAACCATGGCTTATTAAAAGAGGTTGGAGAGGCCACCAAATATGGGAAAGTAGAGGTCTGCTTGCACTTGGGCCACGTTACTTAATCTCGCTGAACCCCACTTTTCTAACTGTGAAATGTGTCTAATAATAGTACCTACTCCTGGTGTGACGCTTCAGGATCCACACTGGACTGCAAATCACAAGGTCAGCAGTTCAAACCCACCAGCTACTCCTTGGAAAACTAACACCAGATCACTATGAATCGGAACCAACTAAACGCCACTTAACAACAACAACAACTTCATAGTGTCACTGTGAAGAGTTTACAACAAATGTGTCTAAAATGCCTGGCATAGGACCTGGCACATAGGATGTGTCAATACGTGTATGCATCAGCTAGAAACAGGAGTACCAAGTATAGGCACAAGGGGAGAATCCCCTCCCCGTTCTCACACACAACAAAAGATCAGACTAATGTTTCAACCTCTCTGTATTCAGGAAAGAGTCACCTATGACATGGTCAAAGTAGAATGAGCTTTGGTGCAGCCAGACCTGGGTTCAACTCTCCCTCTGCTAAGCTGTTGTTGTTAAGTGCCGTCAAGTCGGTTCCAACTTATAGCAACAATTTATAAGGTCTCCTAGGAGCAGTTGGTGAGTTTGAACCATCAAACTTCTGATTATCTACAGTTCCACACCAGGACTGCAGAGCCTTGAGTAGCCTTGGAGAATTCACTAAACCACTCTGAATTTTCATTTTCCTGGCTCATTAAGTTGTTGGGAAAGATCAGATGATGTAGCGGATGTATAGCGTTTCCTGCCCTGCATGTATCTGCTCTCCTGTGAGAGCTCCTGAGTAACTTTGGTCACAACCCCATCACCTTGTAGCATGCTGGGCAGCCTCCAGCCACACACTTGCCTGCTCTACTCAAGGTCTCTCAATTTTGAGACTTCCGAACCTGCCTCTCTCCCTCCCCAGGCTGTTCCTATTCCCAATGCCAAGCTCTTCCAGGTTCCAGTGAATCAGGCACTATAATTGGGGCCAGTCATGCCCAGTGAGGGTGGAGATGGGGGCAGGGGGTTACTGGTGACTCAGAAAAAACACAGCCTGGACAGGGGTGTCAGGGGTCAAGCTCCCAGGCAGGAAACCAGCTGACATTTTAGGCTGCAGACTCACCCCCGTAGAGGATGCAAAAATATCCTGTCCCTGAGCTCCCCAGAAGCATTCAAACTCCAGGAAGACAGATCTATGCAAGACAGGAAATGTGAGGATTTCTAAAGGCTGGGCAAGCTGGAGTTTGCCCCTGAATATGCCAGGGGCATCACTGGGTCCAAGTGGGTACAGTACTATAGGAAAACTGAGATTTGGGATGGCTAATCAGATTTACTGTGAGTCACCCAGCTAATCATCAACCAACACAGCCATCCATTTTCTGAAGACCTACTATGTGCTAGGAGGAGGCCTGGCGTGGCACTGTGGGTTAATGCGCCAGACTGAAAAGCCACTTAAACTGTGAGGTCGGCAGTTCAAATTCACCAGTCGCTCCTCAGAAACCCTATACAGGGTCACTATGGGTTGGAACCAACTTGACAGCACTTAACAACAAACAACAACTAGGTGCTAGGTGCCCTCTCATTTATTACCTCCACAAATCCTTACAACCATCAACAGCCTTGATGAACAGATCTGGCAACTGGTCTGCTCAAGGTTTTATAATTAGTAAGCAACAGAACCAGGATTCTAATCCCAACTCTCTGACCCCACACCATCCACCCCCTTCTCAGGGTAGAGATCATGCCCTTCCAGGGCATGGCTGGCTTGGAGTCCTCACCTATGAGGATGAGGCGGGTTGTCTGGAAGAGCTGCTCGTCATCCCAGGTGGGGTGCTCGGCTTTCAGCAGGTCACACACACGATTGTGCTCGCGTAGCCAGATTGTGGCATACAGCATGAGCCCGGGAAGCAGCCCAAACACCTCCTGGCCCACAGCCATCTGGCTCCGGGGCGAAATGTTCTTGGGGTAGTGCATCAACACAGGTGCTTCTTCCACCGATGGAGGGTACATGTCTCCATCCAGCACCTGTGGATAGGTCCACCGGGCAACTGGGGACAGTGGGGCACCTATACCTGCCCACAGTTGGCACCTTCCTACTGCTACTTACAGTCCCACCCCAATGTCATGGTAGAGCAGCTACCCACCCTCCTCAAACAGAGCCTGCTATTCTACCTCCTAAATCTCTTTTAAAATTGGTCCCCTTCTCACCATCCTACTACCACCACCTTGAGCCCTCATCTCCCAACCTGATTCCTCTCCCTAAGTGGACTTCCGACGTCCACTCCTGTCCCCACAACAGCCCATTCTCTATACTGCAGCCAAAGCAATCCTTTAAAGAAAAAACCCATTAATCTAGTATCACAACCTGACTTAAAAACCTTTGAGGTCCTCTCTCTACTCTTGCCAGAAACTCCAAAATCCTTAACATGGTTCCCAAAGACATGTCCACCCTTACCTCAAATGAGTCTTATCCCCAATCACTGGGTTCAGCAGCACTCCCCTACTTTCACTCCAAGCTGCTTCCACCTCCCAGCCTTTGCACATGCTAAGCCTTCTATTTAGAAAGCCCCTTGCTGCTCTGTGTTCCTATCTCCTATTCATCCTTCATACTTATTTGTAACTTCCTAGAAGCGTTCTCAATCTTCTGAACACTCTGGTCACACGCAAAGCTTCTTCTTGGTGGCTTTATCACAAGTATGATTCATTATTTTGTAGTTCATTCATTCAACAAATATACACTGAGAATCTACCATTTGCCAAGTACTGTTCTCAGCCATAAAGATTCACCAGTAAACTTTTTGTTTTTGTTTACATTGTACTGGCCAATGTGGTAGCCACTAGCCACATTAGACTGTTGAACATTTGAAATACATCCAGTATAAATAAAGAATTTGCTTTTTGATTTAATTCCATTTCAACTTAAAAACTGATACATCTGTTACTGGAAAATTCTTTAATAGGCTCGGAACAATGCAGGTATGTGAATCTATTTTTCAACTGTACAGCTTACGAAATCTAAATACAGATCAAATATTTCCATTGAAGATTTAACATCCAAATTGAAGGGAGCTCACAACATGAAATACATACCAGATTTCAAAGATTTAACATGAAAAAAGAGTGAAATATCTTATTTGTATTGGTTACAGGTTGAAATGATCATTTGTATATTGAGCTAAATAAAATATACTCAAAAAATTGAGATAGCTATTTCTTTTTCTCTTTTCTAATGTGACTACTAGAAAAAACTTTAATGACACACGTTGCTCACATTATATTTCAGCTGGGCAGTGCTGGCTTAGACAAAAAGCCCTCCTGGAGCTAGCATCCAGATGTTCATGTCTGTGGCTCCTGATGAACTATGAGTTTCCTGAGGGTACGTCCCATTAACTATGATGTTTACTGCTCCATCACCCATGCCCAGTTACTACTGGGGACTAATTGAATACGGAAATGCAGCCTGGAAATGTCCACCTCCCATTGAGCCTCAAAATCCACTTCCCAAGACGACATGTCTGTTCCTCAGTCAATTTTCTACATGCCTGCGGATTTCTCCCAAGGATTGAGTGGTAGTGTCCCTAAGTTATCCCTCCCCCAGCACACACTACCAGCTCCTGGAGCCGACCCTGTCAGGAAACCAACCAGCCTCCTCTCCCCACCCCCAAGTCTTTGCCAAGGAAGACCACCAGAGGTCCTTCCTATCAACCTAGCTCTACCTGGTACTTGAGTTTTCCATCCTTTAAGAGTCGCAGCTGATACTGACGTTCCAGGTTGTCTCCATAAATGTGGCCCAGGTCTACCTGATGACAGAGAAGGTTCACTCAGATCACCCCAATTCTGTCCCACTAATTAAGACTGGCATGTGTCACGCTCCGGGAAATCCAGAAACTCACCCCATGGCCCAGGGCCTTGGTGAAGCCAGGACCCATCTTGCCAGAAGTTTTGAAGAATTGGTGAGTAAAATGTTGTGCAAAAAAGGCAAACATGAGGTTAGTGCCTTGAGGATCAGGTATGAACTTCCTCCTGAGCAAGAAGCGACGGGCCAGGAGCTGGGCATCTGGCAACTGCTTCTTCCCTGATTGCGAAGATAGAAAATAGCACAAGAAGTCACCTGTCTGGACCTTTTGGGCTCACCAGTCAAACTGGGCCAGGCAGAAAGCCCTGAGTGGCCTCTGCAGGACCAATACCCAGTTACCAAGTGGTTCCTGTCTTCTTCTCTAGCAAAGACACTAGGAGAACGTCTGGGTGGAATGTTGGCATAGCTGGAATTCTCTTTAAATTACTTCATAAAAAATAAGGGGGCACCACCAATTGCTTGGAAAGGGATCACATTAGAAGGTCCCAGATAGAGTGGGAGACAATGAGGAGCAAAGCACAAAATAATGTATTAAAAATAAATAAAGACTGGACTTTCTGGTCAGAAAGAGACTGGAGGAACTGAAAACTATGGACCTTGACCACCCTTAGACGTGGGATGGAACTCACCCTCATGGCCCAGTTTTTAGTCAAGCAGTAGATAGGTGTATAGGAGGGACATTAACACTAGTAAGGAATGCTCACCATGGAATGGTCAATCATTCAAGATCACAAGGGCAACATTTACCGAAGGACAAAGTGGAGAAGGGGTGGGAAGGAGGTAGAATGGAAATAATAAACACAGGAAATAGGTTATATGGAGGGGATTGCAATCATTGAGATGAAACAAAATGTATGATTTGTTAAATGTACAACTGATGATCTTCTCCATAAACTTTCACTCAATTCACAATAAAAAGTTTAAAAAAATAATAAAGTGAGAGGGTATAGATGAAATGCTGTTGTCATTGTTAGCTGTCGTCATTACATAATCCTCTAATTCATGGTGACCCCATGCAAAACAGAGAAAAATGCTTCCAGATTCCGTACCACCCACAGGATGGACTGTGGGTCAGACTGGTGTGATTGAAAAATTGCAGACAAGTGTTAAAGCTGGAAGGTGGGTGGGTTCAGTATACATGACTTGTGTATATGTTTGAATAATAAAAATGGAATGGAAAGGAAAGTTTAGGAGGAAGAGCTTTGCCAATGAGGTCAATTGCAACAAAAACAAAAGAAATGTAGCTAGATAGTTGTTGTCGTTGAGTGCCATCGAGTCAATTCCAACTCATAGCAACCCTGTACAAGATTTCCCAGGAGTAGATGGTGAGTTTGAACTGCCAACCTTGAAGTTCAAACTGACCTTGAGTCCAGTGCATTAACCCAAATAGATATAAATATAGCAATAGCACTTGGTGTGGCATTGTAGGATAAGCACTGGACTGTTAACTACAAGGTCAGCAGTTCAAACCCACCAGCTGCTCCTCAGAAACCCCATTATAGGGTCACTATGAGTTGAAGCGGACTCGAAGGCACTTAACAAGAACAACATAGGTACAGATATAGATACAGATAGAGTCCTGGGTTGACACTGTAGGATAATCACTGGACTACTAACTGACAGGGTCGCTATGAATCAGAACCGACTTGACAATACTTAACAACAACATAGATATAGATGTAGTACCAATATAAGCAAGATCAACCCACTGCCATAGAGAATTCCAATTGATAATGACAGCACAGGACCAAGTAGAACTGCCCCTTAGCCTTTCTGAGACAGTAAATCTTTTTGAGGGCAGACATCGTCATCATTCTCCCTCAGAGCCACTGGTGAGTTTGAACCACTGACCTTGTGGTTAGCAGCTTAACCAACCACTACACCACCAGGGCTCCTTTGTATTTGTACCCTATACTGGTATAAAGGAGTTGGTATGGCCCTATAGGATAAGCACTGGAATGCTAGACTGCTACCCACCAGACTCTCCTTGGAAACCCTAAACAGGGCCACTATGAGTCAGAACAGACTTCATGGCACTTAACAACAACTAGTACGAAGGAGCCCTGCTGGCATAGTGGATACAAATATATCTTAACTGTG